TTTGAAAGTATTGTGTTTACATGTTCAGTGTGTTTAGTTTTGCTTCCCCCGTGGCATCTTGCTCATTTGTGTCAGCTGTGTCTCCCCAGGTGTTTCCACTTCCCTCATTGCCCTTCTGTGTATTTAAGTCCTCTGTCTTCCTCTGTTCAGTGTTGGTGTGTCTGTTTTCTTTTCTTCATGTCATGTCTTCAGGAATCTCATGATTCTGTTTAGGTTATGTTCATGTTTGTCTCATAGTTTCTCATATTTACCTGCTCAGAATCATGATCATGTCTTATTGTCATAGTTGTCATAGTTTAGTTTTTCCCAGTCTAGGTTTTAGTTTCAGTTTTCGTCCCGGTTTGCTCTGCATTGATTTGTATTCACGTTTTTTGGCCAAATAAACGGCTCACATTTTGTTACACCTTAGTTTTTGTCTCTTCCGTGTCTGCTTTTGGGTCCATGCCACAAACGCACTGGCCTGCCCAACGGGACAACTTCATTTTCATTTCACCATTTCTTACAGATTTCTAAACTGTGTGTGAAATCATTAAACAATACCATTTTGTTGGAAAAAATATTATTTGACAAATGAATATCAAGATGTCACCAGCTGCTGTGCAAGCTGAAGTTGAACTGTGTATGACATAATCTCTGGGGAAGCAACTGAGTGATATGAAAGACTCACAAAATAGCAACCTGCTCAACCTGTTAATACACAGGATTCCTACATAGAGATTGTGAAAAAGGCTGAAGTCACACCTTCTCTGTATTTTCCTAGAAAAAGACCCCTTGCTGCTGATTTTCAATCCAGTTTTGGGTTCGACCATTATTCCCGTTTCCCTTCCATAAGAATGGCTTCTTGACAGCTACTCTTCCATTAGGATAATCTCATTTAGGTTAAATGGATCAACTAAAAAGGTCAGATGCATCTCTCAGGTCCTTTGTCAGGTCTGTTAACCCTTTAAAACCGGACGGAGTGGGCACGCTCCGTTTTGCATAACTATTTTTAAATCCCTATAGAACTGCAACCACGTAAGCTAGCACAATAATTTTTTTTGCATATGAAACCAGAGGAGTTGTACTTACATGTTATGCCATCAGCTTGCCCTAG